TGAAAAATTTTATTTCTCTTTCTATGGGTGCTCCTCGAAGCCAAAACTCGATTCGTCGACCTTGATGCGCTCGTCGCTTGAAATTCCGGTTTTCCAGGAAATTTTCGGTTTTTTTTTTTTTACTTTTCCTGGACTTTTCAATTCCCCCTCTTTCTGACTGTTACTTTTAGCCTCGAGCTGCTCGGGTGTGGGGCATAACAATGAGTGTTTATTCGTAATCGCAGACTTCCTGGCGCACTTGAGTCACAGGCGGATCCGGGGCGAAGAGTCTTTCGAAACAGGCACCAGTGCTGCAAAAGCCCGGGTCTGTTCATACATAAAACTAAAGAAATCTAAGCAGCAGTGTTATTACAACTCTATTTCTAGTTTCTACATAGTTCCAGGGTGGGCATAGCTCGCCCCCCCTCCCCCTCGCCCCGAAAGTCCGTCCTGGATCCGCCTATGACTGGGAAGTCCTGATGGTCTTTTCAGTCCTTTTTTTTTTGTGTCTTTCCGAAATCATCGGGTGATACAGCCGGAAGAACGCCATAATGACAATTACGGAGAAAACCGTCAAAAAAATGCGCTGAATGCGCGAATAGGGAAGAGCTTTTTATTTCAAAGGTAATCCTTCAACTTGGGGGCGATCCCCGAAGAGGTGGTGCACATACATCGAACAGACGATGGGTACTAACTGGAGGCATGCAGCCCAGGATCAAACGGCCTGACATAGCTATGCTCAGCGTGCGGGAGCATCCTAGTAATATAATTAACAGGGATACCTGCAATGAGAGCCCGAGAAGTCTTGGTATTTTTGGCAGGTACTCCTCCAACCGTGCAACTGGCAATTTTTACAGTTATTTTGACGTGCCCATAAACTTCACATTCGTTTTTTTTATTGAGCGGTATTGGTTCTCAACGGTTTTAGGAATAGATACGCCAGGCCTAGGATTTAGCCGTCTCGAGATGTTTTTTTCGGTGTTTTTGAGCACTCCAGGCATCACTAATCTTAGACTATAATGAATAGTTTGGTATTGCCAAAGTAGAACGCTGTGTAGAACGATGCCAAAGTAGAACGCTGTGTTCTAAGATTTTGCTTCAGGAACCGATCAGTACTGGGCAAATTCATCTACCCCGATGATGTAGGAATTAAAAACCTAGTTAGGAAGTTATTCTCATAAAAGTTGTCTCCTCATAATTACATAGAATTATTACCCGTATCATATGTTAGTTTCCTTCTCTTCCATCTGCTGTATCACTTTTATTACTTTCATGCTATTACACTTTCTCTCATTCCACCCCTCTCCTTTTTTCTTTCACTTATCTTTCTTGCAAATTAGTTACATGTCCTTTCAATATATGGTGGGTAAGAGGCTGTACTGACAATTTCCACTCCTACTGCATGCATAGTTCGGTCCGTATTTACAGTTAAGACATGAAACACAGACTACAGCATCGTGAAATGTCTTCTTATACATGACACCTAATTTCATTCTTCTTACTCCACTATTTATGAACTAGCAGTGAAAATTGTGAAATAAATTCAGTGTTTTTACGACATGCACTGGGCGGCGAGAGGGACGCGGCGGGGAGGGGGGGGGGGGGGGGGGGGGAA